TTACATAATGCCGGCAGTGATGTCTCCCTTTTCGGAACAACCTCGCTCTCATTTGTCGTTAATTGTATTCGACTCCAATCAGCTTCAAACACTCCTAAATGTCTTGGTGTTTATGTCGCTGGCTGACCTTTTCTTTCCTCTGCTTTTCTCCTTTTATTCCGCTCTCTCTCCTCGCTCTTTGGCTGAGGCAGTCCGTGGTCCTTCCAGTGGGGGAGTTGCCTGACTTAATCCACCTCTTAATACCATCAGGATCAACTTGCGGTTATAGAAACCATTAATATTACACTAAAACACAATATAAAAGCCACGTACATCATCTGGAGCAGCCCCCAACCAGTGGTTGTGTAATAAAATCACAAAAGTAATTTTCGAAAATGAAATAAAATGCATCATACTTATGAGAGTACAGTAATCCATTGGCGATACATTTTTCTTGGAACAAATATTAGAATTGAGATTGTAAGCAGAGAAGGCCTTGATAACGCTAACCACTCACTGCTGCCCGTTTTGTTATTCGGCACGACCCCCCGGCCCTAAATTCTCACAGGTCTCGTCTCACGTCAGTCTAATCCCGCTTTCCAACCACTCGCATTTTCTCTTGACACTCGCCATCAAGACCTTGTCATCAGATCTATGTGACCACCATATTAAATTGCACTTTTGCTCTTTTTTTGGGGTCACCACACAAACACAAGTGGGTTTAATCATTGATGTGGGGGGGGGGACACGTCTTCAAAAAGACATCCACGCTTTAATGATGGCTTCAAGAAAAGCGTCTTAGCTTCATTTAGACTGAAAATCCCGACATTCAATTACTTTGCACATTTTTTTTCTGTCCACAAGTACCAGAAGTGGGCATCCAGTAATTGACTTTTATCTCCGACTGCTCTAATTTACATTTACAAGGGTATGAAGAATGATTAGGACCGCAGAGAAAGGGGGGAAAAAGGATACTGGTGTATAAAGATTTGGTTTTCTTTCGCGGGGTTTTACGTTAACCATGTAGGAAATAATGGAAATAGAAATAGTCTGTGGAGGGTCAAATTGGAAACTTCATAAAACCATTCTTAGCTGTATGGGCAATCTTTTAAATGAATATTTTAACTTTTTTAAAGGTCATACAGTTGACAAGGTCTTCGAACAGTTTTTACACCAAACGTGGCGTGACCTCGTGATCACAAAGACACAATTGTTCACTGGGAAACGGCAAATTTTATCTTTTCAGTTTATTCCGTCCAAGGTGACAGTGGACAGACACAAATGTAGCATAGCAGATCTTCATTAAGATAGATCCATTTGTTTAACTTGTACTTAAGCGTATGAGAAGAATTGTGGGTTCTGGGCGACCTGCTGCTTCTCCAAGTCTAAAAATGTGAAACATTATTACGGAAATCACAAAAATTGCAGTGGGGAAACTTGCCATGGGAAAAACAGCACTTTGAGTTTGAATTTTGATTGCGCTATTCAATTATTTCTAATTGCACGTTGGGGCAAAAAATGTCTGTGCCACGTGGCATGTGTTTAGTATAAAGTGGCAGTTCAAATATGTCTTATCTCTGCACCGGCTTGGCCAGGAATGAGTGCAGTGAGCTCGCAGGAAAAAAATGTCTGTATCAAAATGAGGCAATTATGAGACTGTCGAGCTGTCAGGGTGTTCGCATAATGGGTGCTGCGTTATGATAGCATCTCTCTGATATCGTTTGGCGGCTTAATAATGGAAGACTCTCAAGGGGTGCTACTCATCGACCCACAAACGATTCAAGTAGAAGGTGGTTAGATGAGTTATTGTAAAGCAAAAATAAAAGAGTCACTTCCTCTTGATTTTTCTTAATGAATTTGGTGTGCAGTCTGGAGGCTTTAAACTCTGCTATAGTGAGACATTAATGGAACTACTTGAAAGACACACACTGTTTTTTATATTTTTCAGCAAGACTTCAATTTAATGAGGTGAACTTACGCCTCAATGATCGCCCGATAGCATTTGTGTCGACATTCAGCCGCTCAGACCTTTAAAACAATGTAGGACAAAATATTAACTGTGGTCTGTGGGCACTGGAAGCTGTACAACACAACCAGCGACCATTAGTGACCAAATAGAAGCAGGCTTGGAGATTGGTGAGTGAGTTTGCATATCTGGTAAGTGTTTTTACTTGTTTATAGCTATTGAACTGTGAACCAAGATAGTAAAAGCATTTCGCGTTCACAAAAGTTTTAGCCTAGCTGCTAAGCTAAAACGTTTGAGAATGCTAAAGTTTTAGCATAGCTGCTAAGCTAAAATTTTTGTGAATGCTAAAGTTTTAGCTTAGCTTCTAAGCTAAAACTTTTGTGAATATTAAGCCTTAGCACAACCAACGTCTGGTTAGCTCGTGCCGTTCCAAGATTTCCTCTTCTGTCAGACGAGAAGGCGGAGCACCTCCTCTTCTTCGTTGGTGCCATGGCGCTAAGGAAGCAGCTATGTTCGACTATCCCGCGATTAAACCCCTATGTCAAACGCAATGAAAAGCGTCGTTTCACCTTCAGTGTGAATGTAGCATTACAGGGGCCCCCTGTCGAAGTCTTTTTTTCAGCCAAGTTTTTGTGGGAAAAAAAAAACAGGCTGACCCACTTCTCTGACTGTCAATCAATTTCCGAACAAATGGAGCATTCACACTGGTGCTGAAACACAATAACAGCCCGTGCATGAGGCTCCATCAGAGTCACACATAGACGTGCCATCCAGCAGGGAAGTGATTGACACTTGGGAGTCAACGAGCCAGAAAGAGGCTGATGGCTTGAACTGGTGGCCACAGTGCATTGTGGGTAAAAGTAACAATAATGGCTCATTATATCCAAAGGTTGCTGAAGCCAAGTTGTGATGAATGAGCATTGTAGTGGCCATTAGTGAACAAGCATGGATGTGAATATGACTATTGTTGCAGTGATGGTTTTTTACGTGAAAGAAACGCCGATGCATCAGTCAGACTACACAATAGCAAAACAACGCTATATTTAAATAAAATGTGCATTTTGTGTTTTACGATGAATCAACATGGTGATTATCTAAAAACGGGAACATCATCAACATTTTTGGCACTGTCGATTGTTTGGTTATTCATAAGAAGAACAGACCACATAGGGCCTGTCGACTTGACTATTCACATAGTCCTAGTATGTGTTTGTTGTCAGTTTAGACTTGTTATGTAACTTTTCTTATCATAAACAGTGTTTTTCTGTTAGTTTGTTAGTTTGTTAGTTTGTTTGTTTGTTTGTTTGTTTGTTTTTTTGTGGAACGTTCCCAGGAATGCTCTGAAAATATCCAATACGTTAAAGTGCAGTGTACTGAATTAAATATGAAACGGCAAGTCACTGAATGCTCACACAATTGATTTGACAATAATAAACATATGGCAGCTGGAAGGCTTGCTTGCTTGTTGCTTGCTTTGCTGCACAAAGTCTTTAGTTAATGAAAGTGAAGCAGCTCTTCCTTAGATTGCATCTGTCAAACTGCCTGAAAAGCACTTTTCGCTCTCCAGAAAGTGTCTCGCTCGGTCTCCATGGCGACTCACAACACGTGTGTGTGTGTGTGTGTGTGTGTGTGTGTGTGTGTGTGTGTGTGTGTGTGTGTGTGTGTGTGTGTGTGTGTGTGTGTGCGTGCATGCATGCAATGAATGTTGAGTAGCTCGTTGTCAAAATGGTGTTTGCTCTCCTGAGTTTCTCACAAGATAATGAGACAACAAGATCCAGGCTGGATGGAAACGCAGAGAAATAGGCCTGGGGAAGAAAAAGGGTAAAATATAAAGATACTTTTTTGTCATTGTACAACAATGTACAACAAAACTAAGGCGCACACGTAGTAGTAGTGAAACAGGTCTCCACGTAATTTGAGTACAGGTACCTTGATTAATAAATAAATAAATAATGACAACACACACACACACACACACACACACACACACACACACGCACACATACGCTCACGCGCACACGTCGTGTTTCTATCACATTATACTGTTTGAAAAACTTCTGTCAACCAGATCAACTTGAGGTTTCTTTACAACGTGCAGTGCATCTTATCGACAATTCCTCTTCTTGTGTGAGGTCACAATACTGCCAGCAACTGATACTGTCTTTCCACTGCAAGGAAACCAATGTGAACTGACGATGGCTGGATGTTATGAAGTGTGCTGCCTCCATCTCGTGGTGTGGGTCTGAATTACATGTCTATATCAAATTTTGCTTAAACTCCCAGACTAAAAAAAAAAAAAAAATAGCAAGTGACGTCTTGTATCTCGAAAAACCTATAAGTCAAAGCACTCATATCTCAAGGCACCACTGTATTCAGAACACAGTAAATGTAAACCCATTGACTGTTTGACTATTTACAATTACAGTTTAAAGATTCGTGTGTGTGTGTGTGTGTGTGTGTGTGCGTGTGCGTGTGCGTGTGTGTGTGTGTGTGCGTGTGTGCGTGTGTGTGTGTGTGTGTGTGTGTGTGTCGTCGAAGCAATTACGTAGGCCCTCAGCTCTGTCTCCTCCAGTTGATGAATGAAGGTTTGCTCTCTTTTTCGCTTTCTCAAAAACAACCCTCTCATCTCTCCACCATTGATTGATTTGCTCCTCAGGATCTCTGCCCCTGTCGGCATGGCAACAGACAGCACCCCATGCTACCATCAACACCCTCACATTTTTGTCATTCAGCACTGGTTCACATGATTCATTGTTTATTTTTTTGCAAGCTGAATTTCGAGTGGTCCTCCACTGACAACATTTTGTCACGCGTCAATTCACTCTCAATGAAACATTTTTAGTCATGCTCATGAAACTTCAAAAGGGCCTCTCTACTTGCTGCCCAAACGAGTCATGAGTCTCTTTTATTTAGCCAAATACTTGCCTCTTTAAATTTATTTGCTATTTATTAAAAGAATGGATGGCACTTGCACACTTCATCTCTGTAATGGTTGTTAACAAATTCCTCGCTCCAGGGTCGCTCCATGTTGATTTTCTTTGTTTCTGTCTTAAAGGTCGACTAGTGTCTCTGCCTGCAGCCTTCCTTCGTGTGTCATCCAGGGAGTGCCACCATGTTTCGCCTTGCCTTATCCGCCCCCCTCCTCCTCCTCTTCGCGATCCTCTTCCTCTCCTTGGTGCCACTCTGCCAGTCTGAGTCCCAGCGTGGGACGGCGGTCTCAGCCTCCATTCTGCCCTCTTCCCTGCCTTCCGCCGGGTCATATGGAAACAGCAGTGTGCCAGCCGTGGGCAAGTGTGACGTTGTGACGGTGTGCAAGCCGGGCATCCTGCTGCCTGTCTGGAGGCCCAACAGGCCAGGCCTCGGGGAGCAGATCGCCCGGGCAGTGGTTTACTTTGTGTCCCTCATGTACATGTTCCTGGGTGTCTCCATCATCGCCGACCGCTTCATGGCGTCCATCGAGGTCATTACATCACAGGTGAGGTCATCTTTCCACACTTTATCGTACACTCGCTGCTTGAAATCGAGCCATTTTGACCATCAGTTCATCTAAATGTGCCAAGCCCCCACCCACAAAAGCATGGAGCATTGTAGCAAAGTTAGACGACTCTCTTTCATGTGTCCTAGAATTTCGGGAAAATTCAGCTCCCAAAGTGTGTTTCACTTAGCAAAATGGAATCTGGTAGACATTTGTATCACAAGTCTACTCGCCAAAAAGTCTCAGGAAGTCATGCCTTAAACACAAGAGAAGTCGGAAATCTTTTTATGGCCTTTTAAGGGCCATTTTTGGGCCTGTCAATCATGAATACACCCACAGAGTGTCAAGGAGCCATGCTTGAAAAAAACACAGGAACTCGGACATTTTGGTCTGAAATTTTGCAAAACATTTTGAATTTTTTTAATTTTGTTGCAGCAGAACTTTAGTTGTTTGCTTCAAAGAGTTTGTTGGTGAATAGGGTATTATACAGAGTACAGAAAAGGATAATGAAAATATATTATATTTAAGAGCATGTATGGACATGTTTTGTCAATATTTAAAATGGCATTTTTTGTCATCTGATTAGAAAATGCGGCGTTCCATGTGGCCCCACGGGAGTATTGATGAGAAATTGCGCCCCCCCCCCCTGCATCATTTAAGTTGCCCATCCCTGGTCTAGGATACTCTATCATCAAAGCCTTTGATGATCCACCATGCAACACACAATTCAAATCACGCACAAATCTTCATACCGGTACTTTATTTCTTGTAAGAAAGCGGAGAGATTGTATCGTACTAAGAGAGCCTAACATGCAAGCCGCTGCCTCGCTAATAAGTCGAGCCAACTTGCACTCACAAAATGCACTTGTTTGTGGTTCCTTGTAACACAATGTTCAAAAATAACCTTGGGCAATGAGCTACAATGCTGCTGGGATCTGTTTTGAGCACCTACTTAAGTTGCCAAATGGAGTTCACAAACATCATTTATTATTCATTATTATTGTGTATGTGTTTTAGCCGAGTCAGCTGGACTACGCTACAAGCAGCAACCAAACAGGAACCTCTAAGATGCATTGGTCGTGTTTAATTTTAAGATACTGTACAGTATATCCAACCATGAGCGTGAGTGTTGTATGTGTATGGGATTGGGTGTATTTGTGAGGTCACATACTGATGTTGGATAAGAAGGCCTGGCTCTCAGTCTCCGCTCTAATTCATCCTAAAGATGTTCTATCGTGTTGAGGTTAGGAATTTGCGCAGGCCGGTGAAGGTCATCCTCACTAGGGGTCGAAAGGAGATTGCTCAGATTAATAGCATTTCAATTCATTTAAATTTGCACTATGGATTTAATATGTTATACAGTATACAGGTGCCACTGTATATGCCATTTAATTACTGCTAATGTACGTCTAATTAGATTCAATCTGCATTTCCCTGCCTTGTACATGTGACATGATGAATCAAAATTACATTGAATTCTATCTAAACTAATCCACAGGCATGCTTATATTCTTGTGTGTGTGTGTGTGTGTGTGTGTGTGTGTGTGTGTGTGTGTGTGTGTGTGTGCGCGTGCGTGCGTGCGTGCGCGTGTGTGTTTGGCTAACAGGAGAAGGAGGTGACCATCACCATGCCAAACGGAGAAACATCAGTGGCAACAGTTCGAATCTGGAACGAAACAGTGTCAAATCTGACCCTAATGGCTCTGGGCTCCAGTGCACCCGAGATCCTGCTGTCAGTCATAGAGGTACTAAGACATGCGCCCGCACACACACACACACACACACACACACACACACACACACACACACACACGCACACACATACAAAAGTTAAAGGTAGACTTTTTTATCCATTGTGTTACATTATCAGACAGGTATTGTATTTGACTGTTAAAAACATAATCATTTTCACTGAAGTACAGTAGTTAAATCACTACTTGTAGTTTTACCAGATCTCCCCCCCCCCCCCCCAAGTCACTGCACTTTGAGTGACTACTTTTGCTACTCATTTGCCAATAATCATCCTTTTTGTCACCATCTCTGCAGGTTTGCGGTCACGAATTCAATGCGGGCGAGTTGGGACCAGGCACCATCGTGGGCAGTGCCGCCTTCAACATGTTTGTGATCATTGGCATTTGCGTGTGGACCATCCCCCAGGGCCAGGTGCGCAAGATCAAACATCTGCGGGTTTTCTTCATCACCGCCTTCTGGAGCATCTTCGCCTACATCTGGCTCTACCTCATCCTGTCCGTCATGTCGCCTGGCGTGGTCGAGGTGAATCAGGCCGGGGCGCCTTTATGGTTTGAGCATTTTATTTAGTACCCTTGATATCCAGCTTAAGGTCCATGTACTAATTACGCTATTTGCCCTCACTAAAAAGAAAGTTAAGCCAGTCATAGAATGACTGTTTTACTACTACGGTGAACTGGAGTTTTACAGGTTTTCATCTTGCACTTTGTTAATAGTTACAGTGGCACGAAGATGTTAACTCGTGCACAGTTTTGCGTCACTTGTAACATGTAATAGTTGTCCTGCTAGTGTGCAGAACTGTCCGATCGTTGTGGAAAAAAAACAGTTCTGGTAAGACACAGTCATCTTCTGCGCTGAATTGCCTTACTAGTGAGGACAAAGAGCATACTAGTGCATGGACCTTTAGCTGGATATCAAATAAATGCTCTTTTTGTTTTTTTGTTTTATTTACAAGTGAGGTTAAATTGCATTCTCATAAACCAAAAGTGGCACTAGTAGTGGAAAACACATTACTAGACACAAATACAACCCTCCGTGTAATAACACCAGCTCCTGTAAAGCAAGCGATGGCACTTTCAGCAGCAAATTTCAAAAAACATACCAATTTCTGTGAGTCAAATGCAAACATTCCTTAAACATGCTGTCAGTCAAACATAGACACGCCACTTCCAGTTAAACACGGCTTGCTTTCTGTTTTAGATGTGAAGAGTTTAGTCTTATTAATCAACAGTCACACGAGTGTGTTAATGATTGAACCCGAACATCATTTCCTGTGTCTCAGGTGTGGGAGGCCTTGGTGACTCTCCTGTACTTCCCAGTGTGCGTCATCCTGGCCTGGATCGCCGATCGCCGCCTGCTCTTCTACAAATACATGGGCAAGCGCTACCGTGCCGACAAACGCCACGGCATCGTCGTGGAGATGGAAGGAGACCTTACGCCCAATAAGGGTGGCATGGAGATGATCACGGATGGCAAGTTCCCGCCACGTGGGGCTGCCGTAGTCCCTGCCGAGAATTGCAGTGGAGATGGTGCAGCGGCCAATAACGTGGGCGCGGCGATGGCCCGGTCCACGTCCAGGGGCGCTGGGGGCATGCTGCCCAATTCCAACAGCGCCTTGGTCAATATGGAGACCAGTCGGGAGCTGGATGAGAGCCGAAAGGAGGTGGGAAGCCTACATCACAGAACACATATTGATCGTTGAATACTCGTCTCCTTGGCTGTGTTGGGAGTCCGAAACAAAAATTGGTGAATTTGAATGTATTATTTTTAGTTTTCAAATTCAAAATGAACCTTTGTTTCACACTGATTTCAGATTCACAATTTAGCTCACAATGATCTGGCTTGTTTTTTTTTTGTTTTTTTTTACATTTTTACAGCCAAATGTTTCCCTTGCACTTTACCCACTCCTATGTTAATCGGTGAAATATTGGTACATACAGTATTTACCGTGCTAAAAACAGGTCAGCGAAAGAATCTAATATGCCTATTTTAAACGCCCCCTCAAGGTCATTCGTATCCTGAAGGAGCTGAAGCAAAAGTATCCTGACAAAGAGCTGGATCAGCTGATGGAGCTGGCTAACTACTACGCCCTGCTGCACCAGCAGAAGAGCCGAGCTTTCTACCGTATACAGGTAACACTCCAATAACCTGTGCCCAGAGCCTGTCCCAGGCATTAGTCATCGAAAGGATCTGTTTTAGGGTCCCACTCCCACTAGGACCCCCTTCACCCTGTGAAAATAGCACGAAAAGTATTCACTTTTCGTGCTATTTTTGTTTGGTATTTAATGTGAAAAATATGTGCCTTGGCTCAATAAAGGTTAAGAAGCACTCGTCGATAGATATATGAGAGTGAAACCAAATACATGTTCAGTCATCTCATCATATTATTACATGTAACAAATTGATGTATTACTAGTTTTGAAATGACTCAAGTCAACTATTTGTTTTGGTTTTTTGGTTCAATTATTGTTCAAGTGAGTGTAAACAGGGTAACAAAATATATGCAAAATATCAGGATTATTTATTGCACATGACAACATGTTATTTGGGTACGGATTTGAGCATGGATCATGCAAATTGGCACACATGATTTGCTGTGGCGGGCCGCATAAAATGACATGGCGGCCCAGATCTGGCCCCCGGGCCTTGAGTTTGACACAGGTAGAGTAGGTGTTGGACTGATTTTTCATCATTATTATTGGCAGAAATAAAGGGCCCCCAAAATCTAATCTTGCCATGGAAGTGTGGTCTGTCTCTGGCTGTACCCCCACCACAATCATCTTCCTTTTATCCTCTCTGTTCCCTCAAGGCAACGCGTATGATGATCGGAGCCGGTAACGTTCTGAAGAAGCATGCTGCCGACCACGCTCGCCGCGCTGCGGCCACCGAAGAGGAAGTGCCGGAAGACGACGACGACCTGGCCATGTGCAGCCGCATCTCCTTTGAAAGTGCTCACAGCCAGTGCATGGAGAACTGCGGGATCCTTACACTGGCTGTCATATGTCAAGGTAGGGAAACGAAAACTACGGCTGGGGCTTTAAACTATGTTTTCATTCTGGTATCATAAATTGTCCATCTGTTTTCTGAAGCACTTTCAAGGTATACCCTCGACTGGTCCCCAGCCGATGTTGGGCCAGGAATTAATTAATGGGACCCCAGGGGCCCGTAACTTAAAATTTTAGGAGCAGATGCAGAAAATTAAAGGGCATCCCACTATGAATTCACCTGCAAAGTAAATTTTAACATTACCTCTCATTCACACAGTTTTACGAACGTTCAGCCGCTCTTTACAACAACAGAATTTCCTGCGTTTTTCCGCCACAACCGTTATGTGGAACCTGTTGATTCATGCGGTATCGCCACGACTCGCCTCATTTCATACATTAGCAGTTCACCACAGTGGTCATTCGCTTCCATGGTCTCGCACACAATGGTCCGCCTTCTTTTGTGTTTGGATACTGACTGCTTCTTTGGCATTTTGTCAGTTAGTGAACTAGCTTGTTTGTGCATTACAGACAACAACTGGGCTGAAGAGTGGGTCAGCGGCAATAAATATTTAAAAATAATAAATAGCGAGTAGATGAAAAATGCTGTCTCTAATTTTAGGGGCAAAATGTGACATTTAGTGCTAGTCTGTACCCCTGTGTCGGGTACATAGAGACAACCAACAGAGTCGTTGCCAGTCAATATCAGAGCACATATAGACAAAAAAGGGGACTGGTCGTCAGTCAATGTCACTGCACATATAGACTGACAATGGACCGGTCGGCAGTTAATGTCAGAGCAAATATAGACAAAGGAGGGACAAATGATCGACTAGTCATTAGTCAATGATGGGCCCATGCTACACAGTTCAAGACAGTGAAAGGACTACCATTGGTCTTAAAAGTTGGGTTTCTGTCAGTCAAAACTGAGGCAAATGTCTTGGTGAAAATCCAACATAGATTTTACCCCATGTAAATGTCACATTACTGACTGAATTTCCAATCCGGCGCTTTCAGGGGGCATGGGTGAGAACACCTTCTACGTAGACTACAGGACCGAAGACGGCTCAGCCAACGCCGGTTCTGATTACGAGTACAGTGAAGGAACACTGGTGTTCAAACCTGGAGAGACTCGCAAGGAAATTAAGGCAAGAAAAGACAAAAATTGCTTTCTCCGTAGGCAATCGCTTTGACATCTTCATTCTTTAGGTCGGCATCATCGACGACGACATCTTTGAGGAGGATGAGCACTTTTTCGTGCGGCTGCTCAACCTGCGGGTGGGCGACGCTGAGGGCATGTTTGAAAGCGATGAAGCGGGCGCCGTGCCCAAGGGCCAACTGGTGGAGCCCCTGGTGGCCACCGTGACCATTCTGGATGACGACCACGCAGGCATCTTCACTTTCGGCGAGCGCATGATGCGCATCAGCGAGAGCATGGGTACCATGGAAGTGACGGTGGTGCGAAACTCGGGCGCCCGCGGCACTGTCATCCTGCCGTATCACACCGAGTCGGGCACCGCCAAGGCGGGCGAGGACTACGAGGAAGCACAGGGCGAGCTGGAGTTCACCAATGACCAGACAACGTGAGCACAGGCCATGAATGCCAATTTTGTTTTTTATCTGACAGATTATGCAACAATTAGCAACTTCTTTTTCCAAAGAGCATCACACAAAACAAATTTAAGCTAACGATCGAATCTGTGCATGCATGCATGCATGCGTGCATGTGCGCATGTATGTTTTCCCATGTGCAGTCAAACGCTCCACGTGAGGATAATTGATGATGAAGAATACGAAAAACGTGAAAACTTCTTTATCGTCTTGGAGGAGCCACGCTGGCTGAAAAGAGGAATTTCAGGTAAGCATCCACTCTGTCTCAGCGATCACACACTAAGTAGATGTCGTATTCACTTCACATGCCACATTTACCAAACCAGCTTCGATCACTAATGCCTTGGGCATTCACACATACAAAATTGTCGGGCTGGCACATACACCCAATACCCCAAGCATCCAAAAGTTGATCACATACATTGAATACCATAAGCGAAGCACATAATTGTAGAACCAACACGCTAAGCACATGAACCCCGCATGTTGACCACATACTGCGCATATCCAATATGTTCAGGAGATACACCCAGCACATTCAGCGCATTCACCCCAACATACACATTCACAGCCACTAAATAAATGATTACGTGTGTTGCGAACACAACAGTTTACATGTATGACCTCTTGTTGTCAATAACTCTCCTTGCTCCCTCTTTTGTGTTTATCACAGCTCTGCTACTCAGCCAAGGTAAGATGGCTTCTGTCTTTATGCTTTTAGTCATGTTGCTTGTGCCACCTTGTCACTCACTCGGAACTAGTTAGAGGCCAAAATAGGTCAAATTGTTAACTCGCCACTTGGGATCAAAAGTGACAGAGTCAACGCTGGCTTATTTGTACCCAGCGCATTGGGTTGAGGATTTGACCCAGTAAAAGATTTTGATCCAACAAGGGGTAAAAACTACCCATAGTGATGGGTTACCTGGTTATCAGTATAGCTGTAGTTAAAAATAAGACATTTTATAACTAAGAATTTCTTAGAAGATGAAGCAACTTTCCCGAGTCAGGGGCTGCCACAGCAAGTCACTCGCATGATATGTTGGTCATAGTTTTTACACCGGTTGCCCAACTAGCCACCACCAACATTTGCTAAAATGTTACATTAGATTTACTTCAACTTCAGGTCACACCAAAACTGTCAAACATGACGACCAGCTTCAACCTAATCTGGGTCAAAATAAGTAACCTAACCTTGTAAGCCACCTGATGAAAATCTACAGCTACCCAGCAAGGGCATCAGGTCAACAGCCCAGCAGTTTTTAGAGTGCAGGGGATAATGTCCTAAAAAAAAAAAAATAAAAAAAATCAGCCAATTGGCGACTTTGCGAATGCTGAACCGCAAATATGCGCCGGTTGACTCTACCACTTCATCATTATTATGATCACAGACTTGCACCATGTGGAGAAAAACATGCCGACGGCAGCCTGCTGGTGAGATCCTGCTGCTCGGCCTTTATCATCATAATGATGCAGGGCACCCGGCTGTTTTACACTGACTCGATCATAATTTAATTGAACATATCTGTGACACGCTCGTGTGGCTTTAAATTCTTCTTTCAGAGGGGTCTGAGGGCCAGCTGAGCGCCGAGGAGGAGGAGGCCCGAAGGATTGCCGAGATGGGCAAGCCCATCCTGGGGGAGCACAGCCGGCTGGAAGTGGTCATCGAGGAGTCCTATGAGTTCAAGGTGCAGCATTCGCAAGACTTTTATTTGAATACTGTAAGATAAGATAAGATAAGATAAGAAAACCTTTATTTGTCTCACAGTGGAGAAATTCCCAATTTACAGCAGCAAAATTACAAAAGGGAGAAAGTAGAAGACAAAAAGTTTATAAATAAATATAGAATACAGTATACCGTAAATATCTATGTCAATTTCATACGTTTTGCATTCTAATAGAAGATCATTTATTGGTTCTGTCACTATAAATTGCTGGCATAGGTAGATGGACAAAGATGCATTATTTGTTATGAATAAATAATTTTCCCACGGCACACCATTAGAACTTTCACGACACACTGATGTGCCCCCCGCACATTGGTTGAGAATCACTGCGTTATACAATATTATCCATCCATCCATTTTCTGAGCCGTTTTATCCTCACAAGGGTCGCGGGGGGTGCTGGAGCCTATCCCAGCCGTCTTCGGGCAGTAGGCGGGGGACACCCTGAACCGGTTGCCAGCTAATCGCAGGGCACACAGAGACAACCAACCATCCACGCTCACACTCACACTGAGGGACAATTTAGAATGTTCAATCAGCCTACCATCCATATTTGTCTCACAGTGGAGAAATTCCCAATTTACAGCAGCAAAATTACAAAAGGGAGAAAGTAGAAGACAAAAAGTTTATAAATAAATATAGAATACAGTATACCGTAAATATCTATGTCAATTTCATACGTTTTGCATTCTAATAGAAGATCATTTATTGGTTCTGTCACTATAAATTGCTGGCATAGGTAGATGGACAAAGATGCATTATTTGTTATGAATAAATAATTTTCCCACGGCACACCATTAGAACTTTCACGACACACTGATGTGCCCCCCGCACATTGGTTGAGAATCACTGCGTTATACAATATTATCCATCCATCCATTTTCTGAGCCGTTTTATCCTCACAAGGGTCGCGGGGGGTGCTGGAGCCTATCCCAGCCGTCTTCGGGCAGTAGGCGGGGGACACCCTGAACCGGTTGCCAGCTAATCGCAGGGCACACAGAGACAACCAACCATCCACGCTCACACTCACACTGAGGGACAATTTAGAATGTTCAATCAGCCTACCATCCATGTTTTTGGAGTGAGGGAGGAAACCAGATTACCCGGAAAACCCCATGCAGGCCCAGGGAGAACATGCAAACTCCACACAGGGAGGCCGCAGCTGGAATTGAACCCGATACAGTACCTCTGCACTGTGAGGTCGACGCGCTAACCACTGGACCACCGGGCCGCCCTATACAATATTAGTTCAACCTCAATTACGGTTTGCGCCGTACTTTTCTCTGGACTGTTTACAGTATCAAGATTCATGAATATCAAGACTTGCCTGTGGAAAAGTCTAAAAAGCATGTTATTTGATGAAATTATCATTATTTATTATTTCAGCATATTTTACAGACTACAAAATAAATATGTTTAATTTGTTTTGGTTTATAACTACAGAACGCTGAAGGGAACGCAGTAAAAACGATCAGGATGTTTAATCTATGCACAACTTCTCTGACTGCTCGTTGTCGGTCAGTTCGCATCGATCGGTCACGCCTGCGTTCGCAGAGAAAGCGCCTGGGAAATTGCTGATGAAAAACCTCTGCGCAGCCTTCGTGGTGGTTGATGTCCATCTCGGCGTGTTAATGATGTATTGATGTCGCCATTTCATGAATAATTACGATGAAATCAACATGCAGTGATTCAATCCAATTTGGAATAAGGCTGAGACAAAGACAATCTATGGATGGATGGTTGCTAAATGATGAAAAATTCAGCATTAGTGTACAGGAAGAAAGGGGTTGTGGTCTTTCGCGTCCTGTTAATAACCTTCTTGCTTTGTTTTTGACAGAGCACGGTTGACAAGCTCATTAAGAAGACCAACTTGGCACTGGTCATTGGCACACACTCCTGGAGAGAGCAATTTGTGGAGGCTGTCACTGTGAGCGCAGGTATAGCAAAGGGAACCTGTTCATTGATCTTATTCCTTTTTCCATTAGTAAATTGACATATGTTGGTCAAACTAGTATTAGTTGCTTCAATGTCGCCACCTAGTGGATAACAGAAACTTCACTGAGCTTCTGGGGCTCCTTCACTCTGTTTTAGGTGACGATGACGAGGAAGAAGGCCGCGAGGAGCATCTCCCCTCCTGCTATGACTATGTCATGCACTTTCTCACCGTCTTCTGGAAGGTTCTATTCGCCTGCGTGCCACCTACCGAGTACTGGAACGGCTGGGCCTGCTTCATTGTTTCCATCAGCGTCATCGGCCTGCTCACTGCCATAATCGGGGATCTGGCGTCGCACTTCGGCTGCACAGTGGGACTGCGAGACTCGGTGACCGCCGTCGTTTTTGTGGCCCTGGGAACATCCATTCCTGGTGAGTGAAGTTGGATGCTTTGTCCTCCCCACTGGTCAGCTGATTATGTCATCTTTGTTTTGATCATCTACTGTAGTGACTGATACACAACTTTGAAAACAAGACTCATGCATGTAGACGAAAACTGCTTTTTAATAGCTGCCCGTTGTGTCCGCTGTATTTACTGATACACAACACTCCACCAAGGTTTGACTCCTTTGTTTCGTTTTCTCCGCAGACACGTTTGCCAGCAAAGTGGCCGCCATCCAGGACCAGCACGCAGATGCCTCAGTGGGCAACGTGACGGGGAGCAACGCCGTCAACGTCTTCCTGGGGATCGGCGTGGCCTGGTCGGTGGCCGCCATCTACTGGAAGATCGAGGGCAAAGAGTTCAAAGTGAAGCCAGGTTCACTGGCCTTCTCCGTCACGCTCTTCACCATCTTTGCGTTCATCTGTATGGGCGTGCTACTGTTCCGGCGCCGGCCCAGCATCGGAGGCGAGCTGGGGGGGTCTCGACTATCCCGTATCCTCACAAGTCTACTGTTCCTGGGCCTGTGGTTCCTCTACATCCTTTTTTCCAGCCTGGAGGCCTACTGCCACATACCGGGTTTCTAAGATGGTTACACATGCAATACACATTTAAACACACTACAGGTCTTAAGCAGGGGTTCTCAAACCTCTTGGGTCCGTGGAGAATATTTCCAAGAAGCCCCTCATAATAATGTCACTTTCCAATTCAACAAACTATAATTTTTGTATTTATTTATGTACCCCTAAATGTCGAGGAAATATGTGGGGTTTTTTTTAATGAGAAATAGGTTGCAATGGCATGAAAATTAAGTTGCATTTTTCCAGAACAATCTTCACAAGAACAAAGGCGGATTTTGTAGGGAAGAAAAATCGTAATCACACATGAATAAAGTTGTATTTATCCAACAACCAGTTTAACCGGGGAAGAAAGTCAGTGATATGTTAAATAATTAAATAATTTACAAGTTAGTGAATTTCTAAAATATGTTAGTCTCGCAATATTATGCCCTTTTTTTTCCCTGTAAAACATTTTTGAATTGTCTGAATATTTCACCCACCACCAACAACTCCCCAAAAGAGATTTTTTTGGGGAAAATGTGCATTTTGCTCTTTTAAAAAAACTTTATTAATGCAGGTATGTATGATTTATGGTGACACATCGTAATCATATCGGAGCCTTTAAATAGCCCAAAGCAAAGGTAAGGGGGAAGTAATTTATTTTTATTTTTTTTACTGTTATGCAGTTATCTCCATAAACACGCTTAAAAAAAATAATACAATGCAGTCATTTATTGCAAATTATTTTTGCAGACTTTGAGTTATGGCTTCGGGATCTAAGGACCCCAGTTTGAGAACCACTGCCTAGAGGGCTCTTTCTCTCACACACACACACACACACACACACACACACACACACACACACACACACACACACACACACACACACGTATGCATGTATAAAGTGACAGTAAGAATCAGAGGACAAAAGGAAGTGTTTGGATGGCGAGTAAAGCTGTAGTGAATGTAGCATGGATGCTAAGGAAGTTCCGATGGACAAAGATGGTTTGGCAGAGGGGAAGAAGAGTGGAATGTTTACAATGACTTTGCTTGTTAAGTGTTTACGCGGCTAATGGGCGGATCAGAATGAAGGCACTTGTAAATAGAGCCACGCACATCCAGAGCGAGATGACCCCCACCCCCACCCCCCGCCAGGTGGACTCCATGGGAGGAATCAAAGTGTCGCTCCGGGCTTTGCCGTTATCTTGCACGGTTTCCACAGTAACCACATCCACCCCAAGACATGGAGGGAGGGGATTTCTTCAGCATGTGTAGCCAGGTGTGGCATCATTACCTCATATGTGGAAGTTGAACTGTACTGTAAAAAGCCATACTTGCATTTGTGTGTTTACAGCCACCTTACCTGTGGATTCTAGAACAGTGTTTCTCAAAGCGTGAGCAGTCAACCACTAGTGGTCCTTAAGAAGAATCTCACGTGGTCCATAGGTAACTTTAATCTCGCTCTGTTATAGCTAATTAGGTTTCTCATCTCCACCATGACTGCCATGGCAATTGAAAAATGTCCACTGTGGCTTGAAGCAGAGCTGCCAGGAACGTGTAAACATAGTGAAGCGCTAATCCTGCCTTGATCCGTCCGTAACATACCTCAACCCTAACACTAAACCCTCAACCCTAGGGTTATAACATCACTTTACCTGAACCTTCACTCCTAATTCTAATCCTTTTATTTAAACCCTACCTGGCCCCGGGCCCTAAAGATATCCGAACCCTAAACCAAACACTAACACTGAAGTCCTAAACCTAATCCTAATCCTGCACAAGAGAACATCAACTCACCCCAACACTAGCACTAACACTCATTTGACCCTAACCATACTTTTAACCCTAAACGCCGAACCCTCACCCCTTACCCTAGACTTTTTAAGATACTGAAAAATATAGACCACAAGCAGGTGCCAACTACATAAACGTACAGCCATTCATAGTGTCCAGGTGTGCTGTTTTCCACACCGCAAACAATCTTATCCATGTGCAGAGTTGATGATATGAGCCCAGTTTAGAAGCAACACAAGTGCAGCACCGTCCATCTTCTGGACAATTTGTTTACTGTAATAATCTGCTCGGTGACGATGTTGTGCAACAGTCGTGTCATGGGAAATGACAAGTGCGATCTGTCATCGTGAAATGAGAACCACTCGATTTGTTTTGCTTGAATGAAGCAAACTTTGTAACGTTTCTAGAGCTCATTTTGTATATTTTTCTTCGCAGCTACACTGACATTATTTTGTACTTCTGAACCATGTTCACAGTGGTCTCAGTGCGCACAAATACACTACAGTACCGTAGTTTACAAGACATCGTTACTGACAATAGAGATTTTGATACCAGTCTCAAGGGTAGAATATTATTAGCGAGCGTATCAAAATAGAGCGAGCTAACCATGTGTGCTGTTGCTTTGAGTTGAAGAGCATTTATTTCAATATTTATCTATGTAGCGATATAAAGGAAGATGATAACCTGACCACGGGTCTTTGGTTTCAATATGTGCAATACAGGAAATGTGTTTGTGGCTGTGTTGGAAATCATTCACTCGTCCCATATGGCGGACAGAGAATGATTCCCAACATACCGTGTCTTTTATTCGCTTCTTCAACGTGAGGTCACCTCCGTCATGTGTCAGTGTTTTTGTCGCTCCTCATCCCGCTCCCTTTTGTGGCAATTGTTTCGAGTGTACGTACGTAGCATGTTTACATGAAGGAACGGTGTGGAATGTGGGTAGAATACAACTGACAGAGCTGGAGCAGGACTGTCTGCCAGTGTGCTACGTTTCCAGAACCTTTTTTAATGTTTGGCTTCGGCCTTTACTGTTCTCCAGTTAGATGTGATACCCTCTTTCTCCCCCACGGTGTGTGTGTGTGTGTGTGTGTGTGTGTGTGTGTGTGTGTGTGTGTGTGTGTGTGTGTGTGTGTGTGTGTGTTTTGTCGCTCCTCATCCCGCTCCCTTTTGTGGCAATTGTTTCGAGTGTACGTACGTAGCATGTTTACATGAAGGAACGGTGTGGAATGTGGGTAGAATACAACTGACAGAGCTGGAGCAGGACTGTCTGCCAGTGTGCTACGTTTCCAGAACCTTTTTTAATGTTTGGCTTCGGCCTTTACTGTTCTCCAGTTAGATGTGATACCCTCTTTCTCCCCCACGGTGTGTGTGTGTGTGTGTGTGTGTGTGTGTGTGTGTGTGTGTGTGTGTGTGTGTTCTCGCCATGTTCTTCTCCAGTTGCATGACGAACCTTTACGGATTATGTGTTTTTAGCAGCATGTGAACGACACCTATGGGTGCATTTCATAGGACCAGTTTTGCCCACCATTCCACAATGGGTGAATAAAAGTAGCAAGCAACATGAATATCAGTCTACTATGTGGTTGCCTTAGAGGAACTGTAAAAATCAAAGTCTGCTCTGTTGTTTTCAAGGCAACTTCTCAAAGCCATGTTGCAGGTCTTTGTTGATGTACAATAACTGTTGTGTTTGTGTTGCCTGTCCTTTTTCTTGTTGTTCTGTCTGTGAGTGAACATTTCTCTTTCTCTGCCTGAATCTTTGCAGATTAAAAAAAAAAAAGACGTGATTGACATTAACGTTTCTTCAGAGCTGTGATAAATCATTAACTCCGAATAATATTTAAGTTTTATATCAAATGTATAAAAATATATTTAAAAAATATGCTTGTTTTTCCAGAACATGGCATGAGGTGTAATGTGTCACTGAAAGAAAAAAGTTCTTTACTCAACGGAAGTTGATCTTATTTGAATATATTTTATTTATTTTCAAGGCAGAACGTGTCAGAGTCTGTTATTGTGCACACCATGGAGACATCCATACATCTGCTATTGCTCAGGTCCTCATTTGGGTTGTGGGTGAGTTGGAGTCTATAACTTTGAGTGAGAAGCTTGCTACACCCAGAACTAATCAGCAGGCAGCAGCTTGGTCAACATCAGGGTATGTTGTAATGAATGTGTACAGATGGACTGGTCGAGTGGTCGGCTTTCGTTGTTAGGGAACATTTAAACAAGCAAACATGTACTGTAAGTTTTTGTCATGAGGGAAGAAATCTTGGTGCAGCATGGTGAAAACATCTAAACTCCGCAAAGAAGGGAGGATCCCAGATTTGGATTCCGAACCTCAGAACTGTGAGGCAGACCAGGACTGTTTCATGCAGAAACTTTTTTTTTTTAGAAACACAGAACATAAAAATACAGCAGCTCTCCATCTGGAGAATGGAAAAACAAAGCAAAGAGGACAGGGTCATGACGTCAAAATCTACACACCGATTTGTTCCTTTAATCAAACACTTTTTAGTGACAGTTGTTGATAAAAACAGAGATTTTAATGTTCTTGTCACGGACTTACAAACTGGCACTTCTTACTACAGCTAACAATATAGCTTACTTGGTAAACTGTGGAGAAAAAAATGTAGGTGCTTGGAAAAAATACTGCAATTTTGTGCCAATTTTAGTTTTAATCAGCATACAAATCAAATTTAACATTTTAAAAATTGTAGCCAACCCGGTGTAATATTTATTTTAATTAAGAGAATATTGAATTTTACATTGAAAACCCGGTTCAATGTTTGTAGTGTGCGGAAAACCAAAATGTGGGAGGAGGAGAGGGATGGTCTAGGCACGTCGTTCCTGCGGAAATCACGTGGTAAGAACCCGGGCTTTCCCTCTCGTACCCGTATGTTCGGCAGTCACCCTCATTGACCCTCTGTTGGAGTCATGCGTGAAAACCGTTAACGGCATTCACAGTGGCTCTCTCTCTTATTTTGTGCGAATCATTCGTCGTTTGGAAGCGACCAACTCAGGGGCTTAGTTGAAGAAGGAGCCTTTCCCAGGTTGGGTGTACTTGGTACGGTTCGAAGGTGAATCGGAGATCGTCGACGCGGAAGAAGGTGAGTAAACGCGCGTGGTCGCCATTGTTGTGGAGCAGGCCGAGCGTGAGGCCTTCCACTAGCGCGCCTTTCGACGTCTAAAATGTTCCACTGCAATACCGCTGCCATGGTAATTTTAACTCATGCTTGTGGAATTTATGGACGACTGTGGATTACATGTTGACTCTTGATTCGGAAACTAATATAACGTGTTGAGCGTCGACCCTTCTTCCACAACATGAACGCACGCGAGTCGTCGAAATGGGCGCTAACACTGCTAACGGACATTCACTGAATGAGCATACGACTGGTCAACCATAGTTTCATAAGCCTCAGTTTTATACAATAAAATGCATCCAAACTGTCAGTTTATGTAAATTTGTCGTTAGGCAGCGGTTAGAGCCATCAGCCAAAATAACGAAACTAAATATGAGCTATGCACATGACGCCATAACCGGTTTCTTTTATTTCGTTTTTACGTCCGGATCCCCCAGTCGTTTCATCTAATAATGTAATAATTTCAAAATGCATTATATGTACTAAAAATGTTAATCAACAAGCCTGACTGACGAGACGAGTGTAATTCATTCTTTGGCTCAGTGCGTACCACAATGTATTCATATAAAAAAAATGTTTGTAATGGATATGCCATTAATCTCTCCCAGCACCCTCCAAACTATCACTTATTTGTTACATGTTCAATATGAAGGTAAATGGCACTGTATTTTTATTAATTGCTGCTCATCCCCACCCTCTCACCCCAGCCAGAAGATGTCCTACTACTCCTCATCCCGCAGTTCGTCCAGGGCAACCGACTGCAAGGTCTATGTGGGTGACCTTGGTAATGGAGCCGCCAAGGGGGAGTTGGAACGGGCCTTCAGCTACTATGGCCCACTGAGGACCGTCTGGGTGGCCCGTAACCCACCAGGGTTTGCTTTTGTGGAGTTTGAGGACCCAAGAGATGCTGAGGATGCCGTGAAAGGCATGGATGGAAAGTGAGTACATTTTTACAAAGAATAAGACCAGTAACATTTTTTTGTCTTGGAGCATTACAAATGAGATTCGCTGTGAAAAGTTGTTAAAAATTGCACAAGTGAATGTTACTTGAAACCTTTCACGAGATGTTGTATGATATGAAAAAAAAAAACAGAAGTTAATGTTACTGAACGCATTACAGGCTTCCTGCACAAATATGGAGTTTGCTTTTGTAAATTTCCACATAGGAAATATGTTTTTGCTGTTTGCTGTCCACAGGCTCTTGTGTGGCTCACGTGTACGTGTGGAGATGTCAACAGGCATGTCCAGAAAAGGCCGTGGGCGCCCCAGCCGACGTCAGTTCGACCCGAATGACCGCTGCTACCAATGTGGGGACCGTGGCCATTACGCCTACGACTGCTACCGCTTCAGCAAGCGAGGAGGAGGCCGCCGTAGCAGGTGATCAAGGATGCACTTTGCGGCGTGTTGAAGAAATCACACAGTTTTATTTTTTTTAACTCAAGCATGTCTCCGACAACAGGTCTCGTTCCCGCTCTCGGTCACGCTCCAGGTCTCGATCTCGAGGACGCCGCTACCGATCCCGTTCTCACTCTCGCAGCCATAGCCGCAGCCGGTAAGACAGGTTTCGTGAACTCAGACATGGTTGATCTTAGAGTTTAGAATCCTCATACTGATCTACTTAATGATGTGATTATTTTTACTTAAATGAGTCATTCTGGGATGCTCATAATATGGCACGGTTCCACAAACCCAGTTAAACATGAATAAAAACAATACAGTGATTTGCAAAACAAAGACGATGTTGCAAAATAAAACCAAGAGATATACCTTTCTTATTCACTCTTGTTTCTTCGATAATCCGAGTGCGTGAAATATAACAAAAATAAAATAGTTGGATGAAGTTAATGCTGGAATTCCCAGCATGTCTTGTGGAGCCCCCCACGGTCACATCCGCTCTTTGATTGGTTCATAACGCTGTCTGTTGGCTCAGGTTTGCCATGCCTTAGAAATGCGCTTGATTGGACTGCAACCAGATGCAATCGCTGGTATAGAAATAATAGGAGCACGGTCAATGTTTCTATTTTCTCCATGTTGTCTATATTGTCATTGTTTCAGCTCTAAAGCACTGTGTTGGTCAACCCGAAGTTGTAATATATACTTAGACAAAAGTAGAACTGTATTTTCTTGAAGGCTTAAAACAGCATAAAGATTCTATATATGAAACAATCATTGAAACTTACTATACCATAAATGTACAGAGCCGGTGCCAATTTTGGCAGGGCAATCACAACACAGCTGATTATAGCCACCACCCACAAATGCTTAATGTAGGACACTAAGGTTATTTTTGCCAGTGTGATATCATCATCCAAAATTCTTCCTCAATCTCTTCCAGGAGCCGTCGTCGCTCTCCATCCTACTCCAGGCGCAGAAGCAGGTAAGTCCACGCTATGAACTCATGAAAATGTCAGCGCTCTACACCACACCTGTGATTATTTGACCTCTTGTCTTTGCTATAACATCAGGTCTGGCTCTCCGGCCCGCTCCAAGTCCAGGACGCCAATGAGAAGGTAGGATACTTTCAAATTTGGGACGTAACGTCTTGATCTGACTTCCAAAGTCACAAGGTCTGTTTGTGGTCTTGCAATGTGGGCGCTTAATCTGCATTGTAAGAGGAGTAGCCTCGCTATTGCGTATACTTAGTGCTTTCCTAATACTGGTTGGCTCTTGAAGATTTGGCCAAAATCGGCTTGATTATTATTTTATTTGTAAACACATAACAACCCAAGACAAAGACATTCAACGACCCCAAAAGAAAAAAACCTTTACTGCCAAATTTTCTGTTTAATTCAAGTTAAATACTAAATAACTAAGTATTGTGAAACTGGTGTTTAGTCTGTTGTTCATACATTTGTTGTAAGCGTGAAGGGAACAAACTTTTTTTAGACCACCCTATTAACCTGAAATTGTATCCTGCCAAATAATGGCATTGGCCTAAAAAAAAAAAAAAAAAAGGGTCTGAGCCTAATGCAAAAACCAGTAAAAAAAAAAAAAAAAAAA